AGTTAATGTCAAGCCCTGTGTGATCAATGCATTGTCCTTGTGAATGTGCTGGTCTGAACCCCCCTCCTCCTTTCAGGGTGGAGCCTGCTGGAGTCCGATGGTTGAGACCAGGTCTGAGGAAGTGTAAGTGTTTTTTTCATTTGATTCATGAAAACATTCAACCATCTTCAGACTGTGACATCACTCATTCAAAGTGCCAATCAATGAACAGATGATAGATCAATAACTGCAGTTTTATTGTCTCTCGTTCTCTCCATAAGATTCCTGTGAACTCACAATTGACACAAAAACAGTAAACAGAAAGATCAAACTGTCTGGCAACAACAGGAAGGCGACATATGTGGAGGAGGATCAGTCATATCCTGATCATCCAGACAGGTTTGACTACTGGCCTCAGCTGCTGTGTAGAGATGGTCTGACTGGTCGCTGTTACTGGGAGGTCGAGTGGAGAGGAACTGCTGATATATCAGTGAGTTACAGAGGAATCAACAGGAGAGGACAGACAGAAGATGGTTTGTTTGGATTGAACGATCAGTCCTGGACCTTGATCTGCTCTGATGATGGTTACACTGTTTATCACAATAAGAGAGGAACATCCATCTCCTCCTCCTCCTCCTCGTCCTCCTCCTCCTCTGGTAGAGTAGCAGTGTATGTGGACTGTCCTGCTGGCACTCTGTCTTTCTACAGCGTCTCCTCTGACACACTGATCCACCTCCACACTTTCAACACCACATTCACTGAACCTCTTTATCCTGGATTCAGATTCTGGTCCTTGTTTCCTGGTTGCTCAGTGTCTCTGTGTTCTGTGCAGGAGGGAGAGTCTCCTCTTGGTAGAGAACAGACCAGATGAGTCTGTACAGGATCACAGTTCCAGAAATCTTTCAGGTTCTTGTAATAAATTCATCAATGAACTTTGTAGTTATTGGTTTCTTTGTTTGTTTTAATTTTCTTGTTAATAATAATTAATTTACTAACATCCAGAATAAAGAGTACTAAATTGCGTGGGCATTCTAAGCTATTTCAATTGTAGTACCTGTGTGAAGTTCCCTCCTGCTTCAAACGCTCCACAATCATCCCGGTCCCCCAAAAACCCCCCATCTCTGGATTAAATGACTACAGGCCTGTCGCCCTGACATCTGTAGTTATGAAGTCCTTTGAAAGACAGGTGTTGGCCCACCTGAAGGACATTATAGGCCTTGCTGGAACCCCTGCAGTTTTACTACAGGGCTTACATGTCAGTGGATGATGCTGTCAACTTGGGACTGAATTACATCCTGCAAGACCTTGACTATCCAGGAACATATGCAAGGATCCTGTTCGTGGACTTCAGCGCAGCATTCAGAACCATCATCCTGGACATCCTCAGCACCAAACTCACCCAGCTCACAGTGCCCTGAATATTGTTCATTATTATTTTTTTATTGCTGGTGTTACTATTGTTATTAAAAACATGGAAAAACACCTAATTGAATGACAAACAACATATTAGTACTAGGGGATGGGGAAAAAATCGATACAGCATAGTATCGTGATATTTGCCATGGCAATTCTATATCGATACACAGACGCCAAGTATTGATATTTTAGTATATAAATTGCAGATGGGACTTTTAACTTTTTGGTACTAGAATAATAAAATCTATTTCTTTTTTAGTCCACTAGAAAACTTAACAGGACCATGTAGAGGACTGAAAAAGTGATACAAACAAACAGAGAAATGTATATTTTTAGATAAACAGATGTTGACAAAGTTTGACTTTAGGGACCTAATTGGAAGTTGGAAAAAGGTAATAAATTGCAATATATCTCAATATATTTAAAATCGCAATAAAATTGAATCGCAACATAAATATCGTGAGAATATCGTATCGTGGGGCCTCTGGTGATTCCCACCCCTAATTAGTACCTTTGCCAGGTAACAAAAACGCTATGTGAAAAATATGTATATTTAACTAATAAGTGAATGTTCCTCCCAGAAACTGTGTGTGAAGCCAGAGACTGTTTTCTTGGGTAGGACATTTAATTAGTCGGGTGTGTGGGGGTCCTCCCCAGAAGAATTTGAGCATTAAAGACTTAATTTCCTGCATTCTGGTGAAAATTTCTGTTCCAATTTATGGTGGAAATGTCTTATTATATAAAGGGAAACACAAAATTCAGTTGGCAGGTGACAATTCAAGATATATAAATATAATATTTTTCTCCTGTAGATCCAGGTTGCGAACTACAGGGGAGCCAGAGGGAGCTTAGCTCCCCTTAATAACACATCAGCTCCACTGAAAGCATGATTTGTGATATTTTGGGGGTCTCTAAAATATTGACAGCATGCTTTATTGCCATTAATTTCTATATTTCTATCATCATCAGGAACAGGTGCAGTTGATGTTGACTACCAGCTTTATACAGTGTGCTAGCCTCGAAAACTGCTGTATTTTAACATTAACTTACCTCTCTTCCTGCTATTTACTTTTTTAAGCTGGGTCTCCGACATTGCAAGCTTTGTGTTGGACAGATTTGTGCAGTGGTGTTCATGAGGGAGAGAGAGCGAGAGTGAGAGTGACGAGAGAGAGGAGGTGCGCAATGGCGCTCTGCAATCAAATAGGATTTTAAATAGGCCTAGTAAAAAATATCGAAAATCAATCTGTGGCGGTCAGCTCAGGAAGCTCAACCTGCCTAAGGAGCTGCTGATCCACTTCTACACAGCCATAATCCAGACTGTCCTCTGCACCACCATCACTGTCTTGTTTGGATCTGCCACTAAGCAAGGGCAATGTACGCCAAAACCAGCAGACTCAGGAACAGTTTCTTCCCACAAGCCATCACTGCATTGAACAGCTGACTCACAGTTTCAGGAAAAATTCCTGTGCAATATTATCCAACGAAGGTTAAAATCAAGGGCAACTGGACTTGGTTGAAGATACTGGAAAAGTATCCAGTATCCAGTAAAAGTCATTTCATTTAGATGAACAAGGTAAAATATGGTGATGTGTTTTAGCTAAATAAGTAGCATAGTAAGCTACATAGTACATTCATTGGAAAAGTGAATGGACACTATACCTTCAGTTAGCTAACAAAGTTAATCAAGTGGACTTATACAACGCTTTCAACAAGGAAACGCTGAGGAAAACCAGATACTTTTAACATGCAAAAATCTTCCCACCTGGCCTACTTCCATTCCAAGAAACAGTTCACCTGTGAGGACGCCTTTTCTCTGCAGAGTACATGAGTCTGGACTTGGTGTACTTCTTACTGAGAAATGCCTCATGAGTGAGTTTCTCGAGATGCATGATGGGAAGCTTCCCTCCTCTCCTGACAATAGGTGCGTTCGGTGTTGACTGCGGCTGACTTTCGCCGACTTGACAGTCTAACGTGAGCTGCAGATGACTGCAGGGGTGGAGTATAAAAACAGTACCGTCAAGTCGGACACATTCTACCTGTGTGAGCTTAGTGTGAGCTGAGATCAATGACTGATCTTGCGGCATTTGCAAAGAAAAATGCTGCGACACCAGGCAATAGTGTGGTTGCTCCCGCGAGGTTTTGTGACATGTCGACGTTTTGCAACGCTGGCAAAAGTCGGACACAATTTCTAACCAGCATGCTTTATTTTAAGTCCAGCATGCATCACGTTAAGTCAAACATGAAGTCAAACGCAACTAATGTCAGATTATTGTCTGATTTGTAGTTAAACGTGTCAGACTGCAGTGAAATCAGTGACTTTAGTCTCTTTAGAAAAAAATTTCACTGAACAGGTTTGTTGCACTTTTTCACTTTTGTTTGGATAAAAACTTTTTTAACTAATGAGGTTACCATAGTTACAACAACTCACTTAAAGAGCCCTTCGCTCTCTGGAAGCCAAGGTACTACAAACCAACATGTCCTCACCCTCCAGCTCTTTGTCTTTATACAAACAGAGACTTTATCACAGCTTAGTAACAGAGTGATTCATGGTTAACAGTCACGAGCGTCTCTGGCTGGTTCCTGTTTAAAGTTTCACTTCTCTAAAAGATTTGGGGCTGGAAGTTTTCACTTCTCTGAGCTTCATTGGAAACTCTGGACAAAGGAGGCTGAGACGAGCCGCTGCTCTCCCGCTGTCTGAGCCACTAAATGCGGCTTCGCTCGTCTGGAGAACAGTCGTTTGTGTCGGTGAGTGCTGTCAGTAGATTTACCTGCAAGACTGAAGACAGTCAGCCGGTTCTGTATTGATATATATTCAGTATCAGAATATTCATATATGTTGGATTGTCTGTCTGTAGATAAATGTCACATGTCTGCATGATCAGCTGACCTGCTGTGGTCTGACCAAAATGACATTAGCTCAGCAGTTCATTAGAAGAGAACCAGCTGAACACTGTCTCTATCTGAAGCTGTAAATAACACCAGGAAGCTTTGGAGGTCATTATTAGGAACTGTCAGACCCCTATTTTAACAAATAATTTTTTTTTATAAATTGTTGTCAAAGACGGGAAATGTAAAATTGTTATATTGGAGTCCTAATCTGTGTTGGTGTAAACTAATCAGCTGTAGCTTGTTGCAGCTGATGGCAGCTTCCTCTGCCTCACGCTGCTGTCTGACTGCATTCAGCTGCCACTGATATGAAACAGAAACTAGCAGCCAATCAGTGGAGGAGCAGCTGATCTTTTTCCAGGAGAAATGATGGAAAGGAGGATTTGAGTTGATGTGCAGATGAATGATTTGTGTTTCCTCTCCAGGTGAAAGTGGATGTGAGTTGAGCAGCATGAGTCAGTGTGAGGACAGAGAGGAGGGAGTCCCTCCCTCTAAAAGCACTCTGTGTGGGGAACATGACAGCCAGACCAAAGCTCAGAGGTGAGATGAGGATCTCTAACTGTCCAGGACTCAAATCACTCCACCATCATTATTCACTCTCAAAGCTCTGTGTGTGTTGTGTTGAAGCCCAGAGCAGCAGCAGGGACCAGACTCTGCTGGACCTGGACCTGGACCTGGACCTGGACCTGAGCCCAGCTGTGTGTCCTTCAAGAGTGACTGGTCAGCTGGTCGCCTCATCGATTTCAATGAAGACCAACCATCTGCTGCAGAGAGGTCAGCTGTTAATCCCTGACTGATTCATTTTAAACTGTTATTTATCCAGAGAAGTTTTATTAAACCTGTGTTTATTTCAGGTAAACAGAGAACTGAGAATCTTTACTTGAATAAAAGTACAACTACTCCCATGAAAAATACTCAAGTGAAAGTATAAAAAGCACTTGGTCAATAAACTACTCAAAGTACCAGTTAGTTTGTGTTTTACTTTTGTTTACTGTGTGCAGGCCATAGATTATTCAGTTATTTTAGGCTCTTTTTAGAATAAGTGTTTCATCCACTCTGCTTCAGTTAAGAAAGTCACAGTGCAACAATACATTTACTTAGCTGTTTAATACAGTTCTATTTTCTACATGAAGGTATGGATAGATTCACTTTAAAATATCACACTTGCTGTACTATTGTTGCTGTATCCGTTATCTTGACATGGACACGTAGCCAACAGAAACCACTTGCTTTAAAATGAAGGGCACTCAATCTAAATCAATAGAATATTTGGTGTGACCACACTTTGCCTTCAAAACAGCTTTTCAATTATTTTCCTTTCTAAACTGTCACAGTTCTCCACAGGAATGAACAACTCCATTGTCACAGGGGTGCATTGAGTGCAGGCTGAGGTGAGGACCCAAATGCAGACAATGGCAAAGCTAGGAGGTTGCAGTTCAAAAATGTTAATTCAAAAACTAACTGAAACAGGCTTACAAGGAGCTCAAGGCAAAGTCCAAACAAAGGCGATCCAGAACAGGGAAAACAAAAGAACACACAACATTAGATGCAAGGACGTGACAAGACTGAAGACAAGAGCAAGCATATATACACACACAGGGACTAACGCGCGGGGCAGGTGACCGAGCTCAGTACTAACGAGGCAGGCAGAGAGACAGCAGGGGGAAACAGAGAGACCCTTAGAGATGCAAAACACCATACATTAACAAGGACCACAGGCTGAAGGGCAAAACGGAACTCAGATTAGACATTGGCAAAATAACATAAGAACACAGACCAGAAGTAAACACTAAAGACACAAAACTAGGAGCTGAGACACAGGGCTGAGATGCAGGAGCTAAGCTGCAGGGAACAATCTATAACACATGACAGACCGGTACAAAGAGAGCTGAACAGAACCAGTAAATGAACAAGGGCATACACAAAGCTAAACAGAGAACACAAGACCAGGAGTAAACATTAAAGACATGAACTAATGTACAGGACTAAGAACTAACTAAACAAGACTACACTGAGAAACACAGAACCAAAAACGGACTTAAACAGGAAAGACATGAACACAAAACCACATTCCTAACATCCATCTGCAGCTTAGACCCCAACCCATCATCCCTCATTAAGACCTGTCCTCCATCCATCACCCCACTCATCATCAAAATCATTAATCCGGATCAGTCTCCACACCACTCAAAGTTGCAGCTGTCACACCCATCCTCAAGTAACCTGATCTCAGCCATGACATCCTGTCCAAAAATGCCAGGGCCGATTATTATATTTTTTTTTGTCCCAGCCCTGTCAATGACCTCCTCTCCACCGACTCCAGTCACCTCACCCTCCTCATCACGCTCGACCTCACTGCAGCCTTCGACAGCATCAACTACTCCACTCTCCTCTCCTTACTGAACCTACTCCAAAATCACTGGCACCGCACTCTTCTGGCTCCAATCTTAACATCTAAACAGTTCATCAACAACAAGGCGTCCCCCAAAGTTCGTTGCTTGCTCCTCTCCTGTTTATCATCTACATCCAGTCAGATCTACATTTCCACCAAATCCATCTCCACAGTTACCTCTGCAACTCTGACCAACTGCCTCACCGACACACAAACCTGGATGCAAACCAACTTCATACAGCTCAATTACAATAAATCTGACTTGATCATCGGCCCAAATCACTCACAAAAAACGCCAACAATTTCAGCCTCTCCATCAACAGCTCCACCCTGTCTCCATCCCCACACATCTGCAACCTTAGTCATCTTTGACAGACACCTCACTTTTGAACACCACATCAGCCATGTCACCAGGACGGTCTTCTTTCACCTTGAAAACATTGCCCGTCTCCACCCATCACTCACCTTCTCTGCTGCCGAAACTCTGATCGACACCTTCATTACATCCAGAATCAACTACTGCAATAGAATCCTTTATGGTTCATCTGCCAAAGCCCTAAAGACACTTTTTAATATATCCATAACTCTGCTGCCTGCCTCCTCACCAACAGCCACACCCGTGACCACATCACCCTGTCCTCCAGAATCTTCACTGGCTCCCTGTTGCCCAACGCATTCAGTACAAGAACCTCCTCATCACATAAAGCCCTCCATAACAAGGCAAGGCAAGTTTATTTGTATAGCACATTTCAACAACAAGGCAATTCAAATTGCTTTACACAAAACATAAAAGCAACATAGGGAAATTGAAAAAACACATATTAAAAAATAATAAAAGTTACAGTGCAGTGTACAATCAGGGTTAAGAGTTAAATGGAAAATAAAAAAACAGGCTGAGGAGTTGAGCAAATAACAGAGTTACAATTATTCTGAAAAGAGAATAATGAGAAAAGTACACTTAATCTACTCTCTCTAGCTAGTCTGTACTCGGGTCCACAGCAATCTTTAGGTCCACTGAAACTCCAAAAACCCTCGGACACTACAGAGAAACCAGGACATGTCTGACCACAGGCCACTTTGATCCAGTTATTCTCTGGACCCACCTGCGCATTTACAGGTGGACAGAGGTTCCTGCAAATCACTCAGGCGCGAGATTTAAGACCACTTCCTTCACTCTGTTCAATCTCACTCTCTTTATCTTTTCACCCAATTACCTACTCATTTCTCACCGTGTCAATTTTTAATTAAAAGCAATGGTAAAAAGAAAAGTCTTCAGTCTTAATTTAAAAGAACTGACTGTTTCAGCAGACCTGCAGTTATCTGGGAGTTTGTTCCAGATATACGGAGCATAATAACTGAACGCTGCTTCTCCTTGTTTAGTTTTGACTCTGGGGACAGAAAGCAGACCTGGTCCCAGACGACCTGAGAGGTCTGGATGGTTCATAATGAAGCAGAAGATCAGAAATGTAATTTGGCCCTAAACCATTTAGTGCTTTATAAACTAACAGCAGGGTTTTGAAATCAATTATTTGACATACAGGAAGCCAATGTAAAAACCTCAGAACTGCAGTGATGTGATCCACCTTTTTGGTCTTAGTGAGGAGTCGAGCAGCTGCGTTCTGAATCAGCTGCAGCTGTCTGATGGATTTCTTAGGGAGCCTGTAAGGACGCTGTTACAGTAGTCGAGTCGACTGAAGATAAATGCATGGATAAGTTTTTCCAGGTCGTGCTGAGACATAAGTCCTTTAATCCGTGATATATTCTTCAGGTGATGTGGCTCCTCAGATCTGAGCCAGTGGAAGCATGTAAATGTTAAACAAAAGAGGCCCCAGAATGGAGACTTGGGAAATATTTGTCAGCTCAGATGTGTGATTACCTAAAGACACAAAGTAGTCCCTGTGCTTTAAATAGGATTCAAACCATTTTAGTACTGTGCCAGAAAGTCCAACCCAGTTCTCAAGTCTGTCTAGTAATATGTTGTGGTCGACCGTGTCGAATGTAGTATTGAGATCCAATAATACTAAGACAGAAATTCTGCCACTGTCAGTGTTTAAATGTCATTGAAGACCTTAACAAGAGCCGTCTCATTGGTGTGGTGTGGTCGAAAACCTGACTGGAAGACATCAAAACAGTTATTTAGTGCCAAGAAAGCACTAAGCTGTTGAAAAACAGCCTTTTCAATGATTTTACTTAAAAATGGGAGATTTGATATGGGCCTATAATTGCTCATTAGTGAACTGTCTAGATTGCTCTTTTTTAAGAGAGGCTTAATGACTGCAGTTTTCAGGGCCTGTGTGACAATTTGTAGTAAATCTGAGGCCATGCATTTAGAAACATTTTTGAAAAAACCTGTTGGCAGAATATCAAGGCAGCATGAGGAGGATTTCAGATGTTGTATTATGTCCTCCAGGTTTTTATGGTTAATAGAATCAAATTGTCTCATGCTATATGAATTGTTTTAAGTGGACACAGGGACAAGACATATCCTGTTACTGACATGGAGGCACTGATTGCTTGTCTAATTGTTTGAATTTTGTCTGTGAAGAAGGAGGCAAATTCATTGCAGGCTCTGGTGGATAGAAGTTCAGAGGCTACAGACACAGGAGGGTTGGTTAGCCTGTCGACAGCAGCAAACAGGGCACGTGCATTATTAGTGTTTTTAGTGATGATGTCAGAGAAGAAGGACCGCCTTGCATTTCTCAGCTCTAAATTATAAATGCAAAGTCTCTCTTTATAGATGTCTAATGAACCTGGAGATTTGTTTTCCGCCACCTGCGTTCAGCTTTTCGACACTCATTGGCATTTCTCCATGGAGATCTTCTCTTACCAGAGACCATCTTCACCTTGGCTGCTGCAATGGCATCAATAACATTTGTAATTTTAGAACTTAAATTATCTACAAGCTCATTGACTGAGACCCGTGAGAGGGCGGGTATCGAGGACAAAGCCTCAATAAATTTTTCACTAGTGTTTTCAGTGATACGCCGTTTTGTGATCACCTCTGTTTGTACATTTGTGTGCACGCAGATAGCACTCTCAAAGAAAACACAGGAATGATCAGAGAGAGCAACGTCAGTCACCACAACCTTGGAAATGACTAAGTCCAAAGTGTGCCCCTTATTGTGCGTGGGCCTCGTCACATGTTGAGTCAGTCCATAGTTATCAAGAACACAACACAGTTCTTTAGTCCCTCTGTCCTGGGGGTTGTCAACATGGATGTTAAAATCACCAACAATAACCACACAGTCAAAGTCAATACAGATTATAGACAGCAGTTCACCAAAGTCATCAAAAAAAATTGCACAGTATTTAAGGGGCCTGTATATATTTAGAAAAATAGCTCGAGAAGAGGAATTCAGCTGAAGAGCCACATATTCAAAAG